AACAATATAAAGAAGTGTTTCCTATGCTATGACATGATCAATAAGAGTCAAAGACAGTCTCTGTCGCACGTCGGCTTACTACTGAAGAGCTCTGCATTTAGTCATGAGCAATTATACGTGGCGCTTTTTAGAGTTACGAGTCAGTGGGGTTTGAAGATTTTGATTTAAGCTGAGGGAGATTTTGACGATAAAAAAACCACGACGTTGTTTTATAAAGAAGTGTTTAAAAATATTTATATTTTTTTTCTTAATTTTTTTCAATGAATTTGTTATGATTTTTACTATTGTTTATAATTTTTATTATTTTTTCATGTATCATATAGTTTTCCGTGCAAATGCACGGGACAAAAACTAGTGAGTTTCGATGTGACATCTATATTATACATACAAAATAAATAAATAATTTTATTTATCTTTATAATTAAAATTAAATTATCTATTAATATTAATTCGAAAACTAAATTATGTACATTAACTTAACTACAAAGTAGTTATATGATATAAAGTAAAAAAAAATACATATATAGTATGAGATGCTAATTGGTGTAAATGACAGTGTCATTTTAAATAATATATAATAATATATTTTTTAAAAACATATTGAAAAACTAAAACAATTTTTGTTGTTATTATTATTTAATTTTAAATTTAATTTTTTTAACAAATCCATATATTACACGGGTATTGTACTAGTATGAAGTTTCGTTACAAATTAAGATCATGAAATGCTTATATGCTAGTGTGATCGATAACCCTTTTTTTTTCAAATTACTAGAAAAATAATAATTACATGCTGTACGTTGTTTAAGTAAAATATTTCTTTACCTTGTGTAATATATCCTGGCAAAGATATTATTCGGCGGAATCGACTTGAGATCATTAGCTTAGACTGAAAAATCATATTTAAAATTAATATGAATCTATACCTCGGTATAACTCCATATAACAATTTTACTTTAAAAGATGTAATTGGTTGGCATCGATTTGATATCATTAGCGATATCTCTCTCCCTTTCTTTCTTACTTAATTCTTATTTATTTATTTTAAGATTTTTTGTACGCATATAATTGAAAAATTATCTAAAACTAACAAATAATAGAAGTAAAAATTCCAAATTAAAATGATATTTAATTATTTATTTGTAAATCGATAAAGCAGTTAAACTGTGGAAGGGAAACAGATATAATTTATGTTCAGGTTTCTGACAAATACCCATCACAAAGTGCAGTGTAATGAAACAACCATTAATAGAATATACAATATAGGCATAATCCGATTCTTTATACGTACAATACAATGATGTGGAATACAACACGTTACAAATTTTACTTTCTATTTTAAATTATGGCAATGATTAGCAAAATAATACTACAAATTTAGCTAGTATAAAAACAACAATGATTATCAATTTGAATGTTTTGGGTGGCAGCACTCCATAGTCCTTTTACATTAATTGATATAAGAAAGACAAAAGCTCCACTTAGAGCATCTCCAATACAACTTTTGACATTATAAAAAGTCATCCATATCATCAACTTTTGAAAGCGTGTCTCTATTTTTTTCCAATGCATCTTGTCATAAACTCTTTCATTATGAGGTGGATGTCATTTAATGTTGACAATGTTGAGCTCACTTTCTAATATTTAACACCATGTTAAACATGATGACTCATCAATTTACTTTATATTTGTTTTATTTTTTTATTTTTTTTGTATCAATGAATTATTTAATTGGTCCACCTATACAAATAACTTCTTATCAAATTGATGCATTGGAGATACTAGTTTTATTGAAATTTCTAGTCTTTTAACATTATTTCAATGTGAATTAACATTACAATTACTAATTGACATGTGTTAAAAATAATGGTCTTTCACACTTATAGCATTGGAGATGCTCTTAGGAATTGATTGCAAAATCCAGAAATTGAAATTCGATTATCATTGCCAATAAATACTACTTTGTTATTTTATTTTTATAGTTGCCAAACACTTCCTAAAGCAAATACCAAAATTGTTCGTCCTTAATAGACTTCTTAAATAAACACAATTATCAAAGTTGCTCATGCTTAAAAACGAGGTAATTTTAATGTCCTACGAAAATAATAATGCATTAGATAGAACGAAGAGAATATTGAGTGTCGAGTGTAATGTCACTCGTCAAACGACCTTGAGCAAGATGATGATCAAAATTCACAAAGTCAAATGAAGCATGACTGAAAATATTGCCTTTTTTTAGATTTTATATGATATGCTGCAAAAAGGTTTGTCAATTTGTCATCACCAATTCCCAACAAGCATGAAAAGTTTAAGAAAAACATGTTAATTGCGTCTATAATAAAGTGACGGTCCAAATAGAATCAACTTCACATAATGAAAAATAAGCCGATTCATCCTTATCTAAATGTTTCCGTCGAAACCGTTAATTTAACTTTTGTGATAAGTAATTTATTTAATTAGTTTTTTTAGCTCAAAATACTAATTATGAAAAAAAAAAAATATAAGAGCATTTTGAGAAAAATGATTTGTGAAATAACATGTCAAAATAAAATTTTTAAAATAGTTATACAATCAACTATTTACCGAATATTTTTTTAAAAATAGCTAATACAATATTGATTGCTCAAATTCCTTATTATAATTTGCTATCAAGTATCCGGTAATATACAATCGGTATCCGTTATTTGACTATCGGCTAATAATAGTCAAACATGATTATTTTGGTATCACGATAATAAAACTACTGGTGTGGAAATATATTTTTTGGATCATTCATCTTAGACAAAGAAAAGAAAGGCGTGTTCCCAGAAGAGGATGCTGCTATTGGTATTGGATACCACTCTTTTTAAAAACATTTATATGGATTGGGAATAGTATCTGATTAGATTCTTTTTTGTTTTTCCCTAAGAGCAATGATGATTTTGAAATTTTGAATGGATATTAAATGAAAATATATTATTTTAAATTGATTTGATACAAAAGTAGCTGTATAACTATTTGATAATCAAAATATTCAAGCAAATTATTAGATGTTATGGGCTGAAATTGGTTGAGGTGTGATATGCCTTCACTAACGATATATGTAAGCTGGAAATGAACTTAAAACACAAGAATAGGCGGCCCATCCACTCCAGCATCCAGAAATCAAAGACAAAAATCCACTAAATCTATATCTATATATATATATATATATAAAGGTTTGATTATTTTTTAAATAGTAACTATTTTCCTCCAGAAAAAAGTATATAAAAGTTTGATTATTTTTTAAATAATAACTATTTCCCTCCAAAAAAAAGTATTTACTATTTCGAGAAATTAATTTATAATTTATGATATATTTAAATGATCACATATAGAAATCACAACTCATTATTTAAGGAAGTAATTAACCATATTTTAAGATACTTTAATTACTCAAATTATGTAAATTAATTATATATGGTATATAATGGATGAATTAATTAATCAATTTATAGTATTAAGTTGACAAAATTAATAAATTCGGTTTTGGTATAAAGTGGGCGATTTTATTTTAGATATCCGATGGTCATTTTTATTTTTGGTAGGAAATGTGTCGTTATTAATAAAAAGTGTATTTGAAAATTTTATAAATAAAACAAGTGGTATGAATTTTATTTAGTATGAGTATGCAAGTCGAATTTTAGGTGAATTTGTTATAAAATCAAGCTAATATAATTCACGAATTTTAGCATATTCCCATTACTAGCCCTAAGATATATCTCCCTATATATTAATTCAAAACGTGTTGAGCCTAAGTGGCATTCTTACACGCGTCGAATGCTGACATGGCAAAAATATATGCTTAGAGATTTGTTTGTATATTAATTTTTTCTTTTGGAATTAGGCATAGTATTGATATAAATAACTTTTTTCAAACTTGGTAAATATACATTTAGTTTTGTTATTTTTTTCTCTTAGTACAAATTTTTTTCTTAATTTGGCAAGTAACAATCTTACCATCTTATAATTTTCTTCCATATTTCTCCCCTAAATTATGATTTACAAATTACTTTATGCAGTGTCTTCCTCTTTTTTTATCACCAATTAGTCCATCACAATTTTTAAATAAAAATTTTTCTTCAGCAATAACTTTTGAAATATATTTTGAACTGAACACCGTATAGTATACGGATATTGTACTAGTTAATGATAATTTGTCAAATTGTTATGTATTCCTCTTTGAAATCCGAAAGATCTTTAAAGGTAACATACAACAAATTTTAAAAATTGCTAGATAAATATATTTATATATATGATAAGGAAATTTATAATGTAGTCCAAATTTGAATTTTAAATTCAAAAGTCAAATAAGTAAATATTCATAACTTACAAGTCTATATTAACTTGGACATAAATGAAATAGTCAATCATTTATACTTTAATAAATTACTCATCTACTTAAAAATTTTTAATTGGATACTTTGGATAAAAATAAATTTATTTTAATTTTTATAAAACACTACAAGTTTTTTAATTATTATTATACTCACATAGATTTTTAAATATATAATAAAATTTTAGAAATTTTATCATATATTTAAAATATTATTCAATATTTATTTAACATAAACTCAAAATTTCATACAAACTTAAACCAAACCAAAATAATTAATATCCAATTGTCCCTTTGTACGTGCTCGTTTATAAGTTTTTCTCTAAAAAATCCAATCAACGTAACAAGACTATCCTCAATATTATTAATATAATTAAATAACATCAATCAATAATCTCTACAAAATCATATTTATTCACTCACATAATTTTACCTATATATCATTTTCAATCACTTCTCCCCTACTTTTATATTAAATCAAGTTTAAACATTTTATTGTAAATATTATTTTAGGACAAACTCAAAATCTCACCAAACCTAATCCAACTAACTTTTTTAAAATTAACTATGATTAACCAAAAAACTATCAATCAAAACCCAAAAACAAACAAATAAAATAATAAAATAAAATATATATAAACAAGCATGCCTTCAGCAATCTGATCTTGAGTGGGATATGCAGTTCAAGTCAAGTCGGAAGAAAGCAATTTCAGTGATTTATAAAAGTACTTTTTTCAAAAGACTTCATTTATTAGCAACAAGCATGCCTTCAGCAATCTCATCTCGAGTGGGATATGCAGCTCAAGAGAAGTCAGAAGAACAAAATGTCATGAAAACTACTTTTTTTTCAGTAATTTAAAAAAATATTTGTTCTTTTTTCAAAAGACTTCTTTATTAGCTCTTTGGCATCAGTAAGATAACAGAAACATCTCTCCCGAATAACTAACAATCACCCCAAACCTCCTTTTGGCCCGATAAATCGATTACCAAGAAAGCTTCTAAGTCAGAATGATGTACCACTGCTTTCTTGCTCGTTCTTGGCACCTCCCTTCAGAATGCCGTTTTCACAGCCCACGACAGGCCAACAAATCACCACCCCGTCATAATTTTTTCTTTTTCTTTTATTTCTTTTTTGGTGTAGTTCGATGAGTCTTCATGCACAGTGCACCTATGAGTGGTAAACCAATAAATATAATACTTGTTAAAAAAGTCCAATGAGAAAACAAATAAAATAACCTCACTCAACAATACCAACTACCATCCATTCCCAGTTTATCGACTAAACGCCCTACAAAATGAATTCTCTCTGTGTGCATGCATGCTCTATTGTATACTCGGTCACAAAGTTCAGCGAAAAAAATGAGACCGCCTATTCCACAAATACCAAAAAATTAACCTATATATCAACCTATATACCAAAAAAAAAAAAACTATATATCAACCTGACCCTCCTCCTTTATCCGGGCTTGGGACCGGCTATGCCAAGCTAAGTTGCTGCACAGCACAGGCGGAGTTACACAACTTACCTATAAAACACAACACTGCTGACTTCAGACTATAAGAACAAATACACACGACACCCACAACACTCAGCAACACAAGATCATAAACACAAATGTCAGATAATTAGGAAATATATCCTAGAGAATTCTATTATTTGATTTTCATAGCCTCCTACCTTGATCTCAGAAAAATTACACCAGTTTTATCCTTCAATCATATCTGTAAAAAGAATATTCCATATTGCTCCTCCAGATAACATCATTTAAATTCTCTGGTATTTAATTTCAATACAAATTCAGTTTCATATTCAACTAAACATAATATGTTCCATGCATATCACACATGCACACACTACTTTTTTCTTGTCCAAACTGTAGAGCAGCAAACATAAGACATAGTGACATGAATATGAAGCTCCACATATCCAACAAAGATCAGAGACATGAGTTTAAAGCCCGGTTACTAAAAATAATGATGGTAGGTAAAGCTAGACATTAACATAGTTTGATCATCAGCAGCTCACACTTGATCAAAAGCACCTCAGCAGTCACTAGTGAAAAGAGAAAAGTTCATACTAAAAAAATCCAGCATGGAAGGACTGGGGAAAACGCAACTGCCACAGAAAACAGTTGACCATCTTCTGCACACCCTCTTCAAATACCAGCTGATCAAGCCATCAAAAGAAAAGAAGTACAAGCAATGCTCTATTGATATATCATCCAGTCCATGGTTTCAATAACAGCTTTCAGTAAGCGAGATCGTTCTTACCATGAAAAGTCCATTTTGAGTGTTGCAAAATAAAACCACCAAGAAAGAAATTTCCACCAAAGATCGCTTGAAAGCAACTCAAACGGAAGTTCATTAACCAGAACTTCAGCAAAGAAGTAGCTTCCAAAAACACCAGGTAGCCCACAGTATTTCAATGAGAACATAAGTCTGCTTACCAACACATCCAGGAAATTAGATGCAGAGAATCCAATTTTAGAGGCGGTCTACATCAAGAAGTCGCAATTCATTCACAGAATAAGCCAACAAATGGTAACTTACACTCATAGATAAGTGTCAAATAACAAAAAAGCACAAACCATATATATTTTCAATCCTGAATGGTGGGAGACTCCTAAGCAAAGGTTGCCATCGGAACTACAAATATCCCATATATATCTTCAAACCTACAATTCATTAGAAAACCGGAGATGCAACATTTAAGAACAAACAATTGAGTCAATTAACCTCGAACCATAGCTGCTGAGGAGAGATGTTGATGTGACATCCACGAGAGAGAATTCTCAATAATGGCTAAAGTTCCGTCAACTATCAAAAACACTTTTTAATAATTGTTCTTGGGAGGTCTCTTTCACTAACAGTTCCATTTAGCAATGCAAAGGCCAAGTACAGAAAGTAAGATCATTAGATAAATTCTCCAAAATCTGAACTCTACAATGAAAGAATGATAGCACCTTCAAGATATGATAGAAAAATAATTGAAAGCTAAAAAGACCCATAAGAAGTTAAGCGAGACTGAATAACTGTAAAATTGGGGTGAGATATCTGCTACATTACTAGAAAAATAATTTGACGAGGCAAGTGTCTACAAAAATCGGTGATATGATAGCTTCCCAAGGCAGTTTAGTTGAAAAATTTTTGAAGTAAATAGAATTCTTGAGAGAGAGAGAGAGGGAGAGAGAGGAGAGACTAGAACCAATTAATACCCAATGAGAGAGAGAGAGAGGGAGGGAGAGGAGAGACTAGAACCAACTAATACCCAATGAATGAGCTAAACCATAATAGATTATCTGACTATACAATAGAGGAGGGACTTCGAGAATCTGCAGCTAAAAGCTTTAACTTTATTTAAAAGAAAATTGTTGCAAACTCAGCTTTTGATAAGACAGGTAAGTTGAAACAGTATTAAGCAAATGAAACTCCTAAAGGAAAAATAGGAGAAATTAGAACTAACTGATGTGAAGAAAATGACGACACCGAAACAGATCAAAAAGGTCTTCAGGTGCACAAGGGGGCAACAACCATCATCAAGTGGAAAATAGGCCTGCAACCGATCGACCTACTGATAGCACAAGAGCACCGAGTTCCCAGATAGAGGAGATCCATGCATACAGATTGGGCAAACACAAAGCTCCACAAATGCACCACTGTCAACTTGAAACATACGACACTGGAGCAGAACGAAGTTTGTCAGATAAACTAGGTAAATGATACATAAACAAGCTTGTCCAAAGAAGCACATCAGATAATACGCAAAATCGGTATATTCAAGAGCCACTACACCATCCATACTTAATGCACACAGGATGCTTCATTTTGAAATGATGAAGATTTCAACACAAAGTCATACATCCAGAGAAAGAAACTAAAAGATTTGTGATTAAACCTCTTCGTCTCCGAAAGCATCATCACAAAGCCACGCCCCCTGGAAACCTCTTCAAAATTTGATTTCAATTTCAGCAACTCAAGTGCATGTAGTACTATGTGTTACCAATCACAAAAACGGTTTCCAAAGACAATCAAACATTCAAAGGCGAAATAATCCTAAATTATCAAACTTCCTGGAATCTGAATTTTAGAGGCCGCCCGGAAGTAATGACCACGAAAAGAAGCATCAAAACAAGTGAACAGTGATGAATACCGGCAACAAAGCTGCATATTTCTCATAATTGCTGGGACCTGAATTTGAGGTAACACCACAAAAAACTGAACACAAAAGAAGTACCCGAAAGTGATATACCAATGCTAGAGAAGAAAAAACAACAGATCGGCCGAAGTAACACCAGAAGAAAAGTTTCGTTAGATCCTCTTTCACATGTTTGTTCGCTGATCATCTGTCAGCGTTTTCCTCAAAATTGTGTCATCAACAGCCAGACCAGTCAAAGACAAGTGCTGCAAACGACAATTCAGCATACACCATATATTGAGAAACCAAAAGAAATCCATCAGAGGACCTGCACAACTCTCAAGTAAATTGGAGAAATCAAGACAAACCAACCAGGGACAACAGACCATAGTAAGATCACTCCCAACTTCTCTGATTTCTCGAGACATCTGCAATGCGCCAAAAATATAGAAGCCAATATCCACCAATTCACACTAGAATAACAAAAAATTATTTCATCCTTCACTACCTTCCCAAGTCAATTCACAAAGAATCATTCGCAAGATCGACTTAAGTTATAAGCACCAACACAGAAGGCATTGTGCTCTCAGTACAAAGTAACAAAATGTCAGCCTAGTTCTGCAAATGAAGGCTAGGAACACTAAAATCCACATAAAAGTGACACTTAAAAAAAATGTCCTCGGTAGCAGCAAATTACCTTCTTCAGCAACATACTTCAAAATTTGCAAGAATCCAGAACAAAGAAGAGATCATTGGATAAAACTATAGGAAAGTGCAACCATGGCTAACTTAAGTGCTCTTATAGTCAAAGGACAGCAGTAAGGCAGCATTACAGAACCTTAAGAAATGTAACTTAATGGAAGTACAAAGATTAGGAAATACGGAAATTTATGCAAAGAAAAAACTTACAGATCCCATCTTACTACCCTTGAGAATCAGCATCAAACGTTAAGAGATTGAAATATGATACAACATACCAACATGATACTCCAAGATATGGCCATAAATCAGCCGGGAAGAAGAAAACTTCACAACAATGGAGAGTAGACACATGAAGGTAATAAATACGAACAGAAGGACGAGTAAAATCCACATATACACGATACAGTTAAAGGTAAAGATGAAGCTAAAAGTTAGTAAAACATATAAGCGCAAAAAACTAACTTGAAGGTCGAGAGAGGAAATGTTGAACCGGACAACAGATATATGGCGATAGAATCCCCCATTTTAACGAAACCGTTAGCAACTCATACGCCAGTGACGCCGCGCTAACAGAGCAGTCTGCCTCTAATCCTTTGCATGGTCTCCTTACTATTGCTTAGTAAAATGACTCTACTCACTAAAGACAGAAGAGCACCAAAGTAGCCGGTGAAGCACATCCTTCACCACCTCACACACCTTCGGCCTTTTTGAACAGTAGCATTTAAGATCTTCCAAAACTGTGAAACTAGCCCAACTCTTCAGTCTGAATCTGATTGCACAAATTTTCACAAAAAAATGCACGGCACAAGTTTCATCGGGACATACATAAGGAGGATTCAGGTCTTAAATCACTGAGTGATATATGAACTTAAAATTAGGCCATCATTTCATTGCAGCACATCACATAGTCAGACTACATAGCATCTTGATCAATACATTCAGCATTTAAGAATCACTTTCAAAAGAACATAATATGTTCAAGAAAAACATAAAAAGCAAATTCAACCAGGTCTTCGCTCCAGCAGAACCAAATCAAGAGCAGAAAAGGTTATATAACAAGAAAAATTGTTGCAGCTGGACGTCTATTACCATTCAAAGAGCTTTCCCAAAGTTGCCTGTCCATGCGTCCATGCCAGATACAGACTTCTGAATGAGAACCACAAAATAAGCCTATCACGGATGTGGAAGTTCTGAACCATGTATCCCAAACTCCCAACTACAGCCATATATAGAGAACTATAGATCACTTGACTACAAACTAGAAGGAAGCTAGCAACAAACATATTCGAGAAAAGCAGGGTTCGTTAGTCTCAACTGAGCAAGAAAACGTTTCTGAAAATAAAGGATTTTCTCAAACATGAAACAGAGATGGAACAGCGTACAGGAGTTGCACTCTCTTCTTCAGGTACATCAGTGTAGTACTCGAGCAAACGAGAAAAAAAAGAGAGAGAAAACTAAAGCACAAAACAGGAGGAGCATAGAAGCATGAGTAACTTCAGTGGGTCAATGATAGACATCAGTCATGTAACATAAGGCTTCACCAATGAAAAAATGACAAGTCACTCTTCTAGATAGCAAGGAAAGCAGTGAAGGGGCCATAGCAGAAACCTTGAACATGGAAAAGTGAAAACTATAGTGACAAAGTAACAAACGAAGACGGAGGGGAACTGAACGCACTTAACTTCTAGGCAAAATCATACTCTAATTAATGTAGAGATGTGAGAACATTGATGAATAGTATCACTGCTGCATGGAATAAATAAATAAATAAAGAACAAATCCGACAGAAGTAAAACTTTGCCCTACCTCCTTCATTTACATTATGACCTTCCTATCAGCCTTGTCAAGTTATTATCCACTCTTGGCTTAAATCTTCAGTGGCAAAACATCAACATGAAAGAACAAGTTACAAACCAGATTTTTTATCCGTGCAACCACTTAAAAATAGATACCAGAGCTAAGATAAAAGAGACCACAAGTGATCTGACAAACACAGAAGTAGCCTATCATGCCTCCTCAAAACTGACTGAAGAGAAAATAATGCAATCACGTATTCAAATTTCAAGATCTAATGGTTCAGCCAACAATCTAAATAATGAGAGAACTGAACAAAAGCAAGGCTAAACTCACATGGACTCATAAGGATGAATGTAGAAGTACAAAACCAGTATATGAAGGCCAATAGAGTTAGTAACATAGGATATTCAAACTGGGAGACCAATGCCGGAAAAATGTGCAAACTGCAGAAGGAACATGCAGTAACTTGTAATAAAAAAATCTCACCAACCACTTCTTCACTGTTTTTAACAAATTTGAAATGCAACCCTTCTGCACTGCCTTTGACAAGTTTGTGAAGCTAAAATTTTTCACGACTACACTGCATTGAATCAGTTAATGATATATCTAGCTTAGGGAGTTGGTAGAATCAGTGCACGCATTTCATGTGAACTACAACATACCGTACCAGTTGCGAATACCATACCAGGCCTTCACTCCAGCAGAGAATCACTTGACCACACTGAATTAGGCGGGCCAACTAATTTGGCAAAAGGAACTCACACAGAACAGTGAAATCCCAAATTGACGTATACAGGCCCAGCATATAGAAATGTTGGGTTTCACTAGGTGAATGGCAAAGGAAATGTAAGGGAAGCAATTATACTCTTTCTTGTTGTAGACTGCATCTTGCGACCACCATATAGCATTCATCAGCACACATTCTGCTTGACGAAGTGAAGTACAGAGAATAACTGGATAAATAATGGCAAAAATCATAAACTTTACCCAACCAGGTCTCGAATCCAGCAAACTCAGCAGCTATTTGAGAGTTAAGTTAGTGCAGAGCATCTCCTACAATGGCTTGCACACGCATCTGACGAAGCCTTGAACACTCCCTCATAACCATCAACATGCATACACAAAACCAATGGAATCAATGGTATTTCTCAAACCATCAGTATACAAGAAATATGAAAACAGCAGACTTTCACAGATAACCATAACATATTTTACCCCCTTTGTCTACCAGAGATCACGATTGACCATCTTTCCTCAACTCCATGCCGACATATAACAATTGGCCAAGAATCAAACCCAACAAAAGCTAACACGAGCCAAAATTAACCCATGGACCAAGCATCAGAACTTTTCCCTTCAGAGATAAGATCAGAAATTACCCAATAGAGCTTATATCGGATTCAGAACAAGAATAACAGAAGAAATAGAGAAGCATAAGATGAGAGCTGAGCGCAAGGAACAAAACAGAAAATCATAACACAACCACATTAGGATTGGGCAACAAACAAGAGGTGAAGGATCAACGTATGACGTAGGACCAAAGAAGGGAAAAGTAAATAAAGAAGCTTGGAGACAACATTACCCTCGTTCCAATATACCATAGCATCCTATTTCTTGAGCAAAGCTAAAGGAAACTGAAGCACAAAACAGAAGGACCATGCAAGCACAAACAATATACATCATCGGGTCAATGCTAAAATCATCAGTTACGCAACCTAAGGGTTCAACAGTTGGTCATCTTTATTGCAAAAAAGCAGGAAAATAATTGACTTACAGCAGGTCTTCTACATTTTAATAGCACACGCCAATCCTCAATCATCGCAACAAGGGACCGAAGCAGAAACCCAGAACACGGAGAGAAGCAACAAGGAAGAAGCACAGGTACTGAAGCACCTAACTACTTGACAAAATATACTAAGTGAACATAGTGCAAGGAGACGAGGAAATACTGAGGACTCGATGCTGCATGGAAAAGAAACCATTCAAGCAAACCTTATTTTTCCCTACTTCCTGCATTCACATTATGGCCTTCCTATGAGCCTTCTTGTCATGTTATAACAACTTCAACATGAAATCCTCCCAAATTTCTGCAGCTCCGAATATTAATACTTGTAACACCACTTAGGAAAGGGCTAAGAAAAAAACGTGACCGCAAATGATTGGATGAACTACAGAAATAGCCCATCATACCTCCTCAAAATTCACTGAAGAGAATTGATGCAAATCATATATTCAACAGACCTTTGCAAGATCAGAAGATTCGCCAACAGTTAATATATACAATCAGAAAACAAAATGAAAGCTGAGCTAAACTCACACTGATAGACTAGTAAAGATGAATGCAGAAGTACAAAACCAGGGAATAAAAACTCCATACGAAGGCCGAGAGAGTACAAAACCAGGGAATAAAAACTCCCGCACATGCTATCCACTTAACCCCAGTGGCCTAGTCAAGCCAACCCTGATTTTAGGTCATGAACAGAAAATAGAAGGTCAACCAGCAGAACTGAATGAGGAAGAGTATATATTTATATTATATATATTTATATTTATATAATATAAATGTAGGTATATAATCGAGAGAGAGATTCAATGTTAAAAACCAAGATTCCCGCAGTACAGTACTGCACTTTTGGTCCTGGAAACCAATGCACAGCAATGTGAAAATTAAGAAAAGAATATGCATCTGATTCCCTTAACTGAATGAAACATGATGATCGTGAAAACAGCAAATACTGACAGATGCAGGCAAACTACAAGACTTGGAAAAAAGAACTCACAAGACATTAACATAACCTCCGTATATCTCAATATGCGGAGCTGTAGAAAGCAAACCTAAAGTGCTGTATAAAAATCCAGCATATAAAACAATGTCAAGGAGGATGTGGATAGTACTGGTGAATCACGAATGCCCAGGGAAATATGACCGGACCGAAATCAAAATATAGAGAAGGAATGTATAAATGATGGCAAAAAATATGAATAGTGTACCCGACCAGGCCTCAAATCAAGCAAAATCAGCTGAATAGATACAGGTTAGATTAGTACATCAACAAAGCTTGCAATCAACAGTTGAAGCCTTGACTACGATGCTTCGTGAACAACCCCAAACATGCACACAAGAAAACTGATGGAATCAAATAAATCTCTCACAACCATCAAATTATGAGAATCTTGAAGACAAGCGATTTATGCAGACACCACAAAAACAAAAACAAAACACAAAAAAAAACAAAAAACAAAAAACTGTACCCTTTTTCTACCAGACAGCTTTATTTAGGAAGACCCCAATTGGCCGACCAAACCCCGCAAAAGGTCAGGTGACACAAAACCACTCCAAGGGCCGATCAACGGACATTTTTCCTTCATAGAGCAAAAATCTTAAATAACCCAACGTGAACACACCAGATTTTGGAACAAGACTAAGAAAAGAAACAGAAAAGTATAAGAATACACCCTAAAGCGGCAACAAGAGCCAATAAATCACGCATCCATTGATGGGACCTGAACTTAGTTTCAGGAGATGAGGAAACATTGATGAAGAGTAACAATGCTGCATGAGAAAGAAACCGATCGTGCAAACCTAATGTTCTCCCACTTGCTGCATTTGAGTTCTAATCCACTCTAGCTCCAATCTTCAGTGGGACAACTTCAACGTGAAATCCTTATAACTTTCTGCAGACCAGAATATTGATACTTGCGACACCGATTACGAAAGGATACCAGGGCTAAGATAAACAAGACCACAAGTGATTAGATAAATTGCAGAAATAGCTCATCATAGCTCCTCGAATTTTATTAGAGTGCAATCACACATCAATAGACCTATGCAAGAGCAGACGATTCCACCAAAAACTAACCAATATAATGAGAAAGCAAAGTGAAGGCAAAGCTAAACTCACATTGATCGACTCGTAAAGGTGATTGCAGAAGTACGAAACCAAGGAATACAAACTCCATATGGAGGTCGAGAGAGTTGGATAACATGGGATATCTGCCCACACATGCTATCCTGTGAAGCCCAATCAACCTAACCGTGATTTCATGATTTCAAGACATGAACAGATAGAGGTAAAATAACCTCCATGTATCTCTAAATGCTGAGCTGTATAAACCAAACCCAAACGGCCGTATAGAAGCCCAGCATATGCAAAAGACGGGAGGATATGAGAATATCCAAAGAAATGTAACCTGACCATATCATACTACTACGTGTTCTTGGTGAGACTGTTCTCCGCCAACCATATAGCTATGATCAACACACACTCTACAAGCCAAATCAAAATACTGAGAAGGATTGGATAAATGACGGCAAAAATTTACTTTGTACCCGACCAAGCCTCGGATCAACCAATATCCGCTGAATAGATCTAGGTAAGATCAGAACATCTTGAACAAAGCTTGCGAACAACGGTAGAAGCCTTGAATAGGATGCTTCGTGAACAACCATCACGTTACATGTGCACAACGAAACGGATGGGATCACAGAATCTCTCAACACAATCAAACTACCAGAATCGTGAAGACGACCGATTTCTGCAGAAAACCATAAAACAGAAAATATTTGTAACCCTATTCTTCCAGAAAAGGAAGCAGAAAAAGGATAAAGGAAGACCTGATCAGCCAAGAACCAAACCCAATTCAGATTACGCAGACACTTTCAACCCCACAGCCCAATCACGAACCTTTTTCCTTCATAGATCAAATCCGAAAGTAACCAAATAACTATACCGGATTTAGGAACAAGAATAACAACAGAAACAGTGAAAAGTATAAGAATAGACCTAAGGCGGCCATATGAACCGATTTCGCGCAAATCGCAAAACGAAAATAGGATCGAGCAACAAACGAGAAGAAAAGATTCACCAATAGATCAAGGAAACGGAGCGGGGGTGGCTGGGTATATATAGAAAGTCGGAGACCAAGTTGAAGGATTAGATCGTAGGGTGACGATGCAAATCAATGTCGGTTAGTTTAGATATAATTTTTAATTTAATAATTAATAAAGGAGCCTTTCCTTTAGAGCATCTCCAATGTGAGATGTTGACTTAATAAAATGTAACCACATCATCAAGTTATAAAGTGATTACAAAAATTACTCTCCAATCCATAATGTTATGGACTCTTTTATGTTGACATGGAGACAATAAATATTCAAAGTGTGAAGCCCACTTTCTAGTTTTCCAAAGAGTGTTTGAAAGCCAACTCATCAAAAATCTAACATATTTTAAGGTTTTGAAAGGGATACATTGGAGATGTGTATTCCAAATTAAAGTCTTCTCTTTTGACATTCATATTACATGGATTTACATTCCATTCATCATTTGACATGTGTTCAAATTTAATTAATGTTCAAAGTAGAGCATTGGAGATGCTCTTAGCTGGTGGTTTTCTACGAAAATTAAGGCGGTGCAATTTGGACCACCCGTGTTGACCTGCGCTTTTGGATTCCCGACACGTTCATAGAATTGTACACGCGCTTTCTAGAAATGTCTATGCGCTTTGAAAAATCATTCCATAT